AATGACGCTGTTCTGATCGAAACTGTCGATGGGTTCGTGGAGCTTGTGGCTGCTAACAGAACCCACAAATACCTTGGGAGGGCGTGGCCGGGCTACCTCCGACAACGCGGACAGGCTGCTATCGACCATCGCGTGTGCCTTGCATGGTTGAAATTCCGTTCTCTGCTGACTTCGCTGACGAATAGGCACGTCGACGTCAAGCTGCGTCTGGAGCTCTTCAACGCGACCGTTACACCTACGTTGGTATACGGGCTGGAAGCTTGTGCGTTGGATCAGAAGCAGCTGGACCACCTAGACATTACGCAGAGGAAAATGCTCCGGCGAATCGTCGGCTGGGTGTTCGACGATAGCGATTCGTGGGAAGAGGCTGGCCGCAGAATGAAGCAGAGGCTCGAATCTGCCAGGCGCCTGCGCTACATGGCAGATTGGTCTTCGGTTGTATCAAAGCGCAAGATGTCGTCTGATGTCTCACCATGCTCCGTCGCTGCCTAAACTAGCGCACGAATGGTCCCCTACTGCATGTGCGGCGCTGAACAACAGCCGGCCGCGTCGTGCCAGAGGCCGGCCGCGGCGTCGTTGGTTTGACGACGTGCAGCTCTGACGGCGTATTTTTGTTCTTTCTCCCGAGCTCTGCACAGGGCCGACTTGTTCGGTCGGGCGCAACGCAGCGCAACGCCTGTGCAATCCAAGAGGGACATGGCTCCGCGCGTGGTCTAATACACGGAAAAGGATAATGGCAAACACATTCTTCTACACACACGCACACACACTACCGCAATTTGTTCACCTACGCACGCGGACGCGGCGTAATCTACGAGGGATCGTGGTGTTTGGAGCGCGGGCCTCGCGTAATTTGCGAGGGGTCGCGGCCCTCGGAGCGCGGGCGCAGCGTAATTTACGAGGGTCGGGGCCCTGGGAGCTCGGACGCAATGTAGTTTGCGAGGGGTCGTCGCCCATGGAGCGCGGGCGCAGCGTAACCTACGAAGGATCGGGGCCCTGGGGGCTCGGACGCAGCGTGATTTACGAAGGGCCGTGGCCTTTGAGCGCGGACGCAGTGTAATTTACTAGGGATCGCGGCCCTGGGAGCGCGACCCCAGTGTAATTTACGAGGGGTCGCGGCAGTGGGAGCGCGGACCCTGCGTAATTTGCAAAGGAGCGTGGGGCCCTGTGAGCGCGGGCGCAGCGCAAAATATTTGGGATCGTGGCCCTTGGAGTGCGGGCGCAGCGTACCATGAAGATGAGTTGAGGATGTCTCGAGGGAACCACTTGTTTTCACGCGTCCAGTTTGCCGAGGCGTGTCAAGCATAAGGTGGCGCGTCCATTGGCACGTTCCGTAGCGCGTTCCCTTGGCACGTCTTGCGGTGCGTCCCCGTGGCACGCCCCCTGGCGCGTCGCCTGGCGCGTCCTTTAGGACGTTCCGCGGCGCGTCCTCCTGGCGTGTTCTCCTGTCAATTAGCTCTGGGGCAGCTACTATGTACTGCGGCAGCTCGAAGTTAAGATCCATAACAGTTCGGTCAGGATTCGGATGCAAAGGAGGATTCGATCCACAACGCTATGGAGCACAATCGCGGCGCGGCACTTCGCAGTTCAGCGCGGCTCAGCGCAGCACAGCCTTCGGCACGGTACATCAATGTCGAATTTCAGCATTGCAATATGTCACGTTCTTTGGCACTTTCCGTGACGCGTCCCGTGGCGAACCCCCCTTGCACGTCGCGCGGCGCGTCCCCTGGCACGTCCCGTGGCACGTCCATTGGCACGTTACGTGGCGCGTCCCCTCGGCACGTCCCGCGGTACGTCCCCGTGGCACGTCCCCTGGCACGTCGCCTGGCGCGTCCCTTGGGGGGTTCCGCGGCGCGTCCTCTTGGCATGTTCCCCTGTCAATTAGCTCTGGGGCACAGATACTATGTGCTGAGGCAGCTCGAGCTTAAGATCCATATCAGTTCGGTCAGGATTCGGATACAAAGGAGGATTCGATCCACAACGCTATAGAGCACAAGCGCGGCATGGCACATCGTAGTTCAGCACGGCGCTGCACAGCGCAACCCTCGGCGCGGTACATCAAGATCGATCTATTCAGCATCGCGTTTGCCCGTCGCCCAATCAGGTGTATTTGAAACGTTGCCACGCGTCACATTTCTATATTCGTTTCCGGGTTCGTGGGTCGATCATGTTCCCAGCAATGCTTGCAACAGCATCCGAACGACCACAACCACGACGCCGACTTGGACATTAGGTACCGTGACATTGGTGAAAGGGCTAAAGCTTGCAAGCAACGATTACCAGGAACACCAATAGCAATCAGCCGGATACGTTCAAGGATACGCCAACGACGGACAGTACGGCTCAAGGCACTCATCCAAGAAAGACGCGCAACCGCACCACGAGACACAACTGCACGAGGATCCATGGGCAAACAAATCATTCGACAGACAAGGGCTATCAAGCGTGTCGAGATGAATACCGAACTCGAGGATATTGTCTGCCAATTCAAAGGACTGAAGCAAATATCTGGGTTGACAACCAGCAAGCGAAAAAACTATGATTTCATCAGTGACCACAGCTGAAGGTATCGACGGGACAGATAGACAAAGCATAGCAGACGTATTGCGATTTTCTACGAAGCTGTACAAGGACCCGCACCGCGTAGCCAGCACCGGCACCGCCCATTTGCAGACGCACGACGACTCGACCATCCCGCCTTTCACAGCAAGCGAGGTCCACCAAGCAATCAAACAACTCTAGAACGGCAGGTGCAGCGACACCGCTGGGCGCACGGCAGAATTGCTCAAAGCAGGAGGCGCCGCCTTACAGTGTCATCTACTTCGACTATATTACGACACCATCAAGCCTGATTGCCCCCCGCCAGACCAATGGAAAAGCACCACCATCAGTATAATGCGCAAGTCTGATGACCCCAAACAACCGGTCAATTACAGACCGATTGCCATCATCCTTTTGCTGTATAAGCTGATGTCTTGCCTCTTCGCAACCGGCTCAGCGTCTTGTTCGACTCGCAACAATGCCCAGACCAAGCAGATACCCGCAACAACTATTGCACAGAGGACCAGTTGTTCACCACAACAATGCTTCATGACATCTCGTACGAATGGCAGCAGCCGCTTTGGGCCGCCGCAATAGATTTCAAGGAAACGTTTGACTGTGTTGACCACGATTGTATGTGGGACGCTCTACGACAGCAACATATACCTCCCGCCTACATCACCTTCCCACGACACTTGTATACCATCCAAGCTGGTACAGTTCGGACGGATACCAACAGCAGAGCCTTCATATCGAACGGGGCGTTAAACAGAGAGGCCCGGTGAGCTCTTTCCTTTTCGGCGCCGTCTTAGAGCACGTGCAACATCCGGTGCGGCGTTTCGTGGCCCCATCGGGAGCTCCACCTGCGGCCCCAGTGGGGGTGGCCACGTGCATCCGCTACACCCAGTACAGCGTTTTGTGGCCCCATAGGAAGCTCCACCCAAGGCCCCAGTGGGGATGGCCACATGCGTCCGCCACACCCAGTACAGCGTTTCGTGGCCCCGTGGGTGCTCCACGCAAAGCCCCCGTGGGGATGGCCACATGCGTCCGCCACACCCAGTACAGCGTTTCCTGGCCGCATAAGGGGACTCAATCAGCGGTACCCGTGGGGGTGGCCACATGCGTCCGCCACACCCAAAGCAGCGTTTCGTGGCCCCATAGGGAAGTCCACCTGCGGCCCCAGTGGGGGTGGCCACATGCGTTACTCACACCCAGGACGGCGTTTCGTGGCCCGTAGGGAGCCCCACCGAAGGCCCCGGTGGCACCGCCCGCATTCGTTTCCCCCACCCATCACGGTACGTTCCTCACGCGCTTCGTGGCCCCATAGGGAGCTCCACCGCAAGCGGCACCCACAACGCGTTATTCACAACTCATATGGTTGGGTATTTCGCCAGGATAGTTCCCAATCGTCCTGTGGTGTTGGGTCTTCGTTTTGAGAAGACAGCGCCCCGCGTCACTCCTCCTCCTCGCCTTCCCTCCTCTTCTCATCATCAGCATCATCATCATCATCCTCGTCATCATCATCATCGTCATCAGCAGCATCATCATCATCACCACCATCACACCCGGTACAGCGCTTCGTGGCCCCATAGGGAGTTCCACCCAACGCCCCAGTGGGGGTGGCCACATGCGTCCGCCACACCCCGTGCAGCGTTTCGTGGGCCCTTAGGGAGCTCCACCGAAGGCCCCAGTGAGGGTGGCCACATGCGTCCGCCACATCCAGTGCAGCGTGTCGTGGCCTCATAGGGAACTCAACCGATGGCGGGGGTGGCCACATGCGTCCGCCACACCCAATACAGCGCTTCGTGGCCCCATACGGAGCTCCAGCAAAAGCCCCCCTATGGTTCCGGGGGCGCGAATATTGCGTAATTCGAAAAGGGTATATGGCCTCGGGGACGCGAGTATGGTATAATTTATGAGGGGTTATGGCCTCGGGGGCGGGAAGTTGATGTACTTTTACGTGCCCCACGCCCCTCCCAATAATTCAGGCATCGCGATTCGAACGTGGTAACTAGGTAATTTTTCGGATCCCCCCCTCGCGCGGTCCATCAACAAGGAACAGTCAGCAGCACAAGGCAGAATTGTTATAGTGGTAACAGGAAACTGGAACGGGTGCAGGGAACAGCAAACCTTGGTCCTACAGCCTGGTGGCCCCACAATAGGGCCGGCAGGTTCCTCGTTTTGCAGATCGGCGCGGGCCCTCGCCCCCGCCCCCCCCTCATGGAGTAGATCTTGGCTGTTTCCATTGAGTGTTTCTAGCAGGTGGAGTCTCCCCCGTGAGGCGCACTGTTGCAAACAGCCGCACTAAGCAGAGTTTTGGAGTCCCCCCCCTTTCCGCCCGATGTCGAAACGTCGCCGGCGGCCCTCGGCGGCCTTCGGCGTTCCGCCGCAGCGGCCCTGGCGCCCTGCGGCAGCCCAGCGGCGGCCCAGCGACGGCCGTCGGCAGTGCCCCGCGAAAGGTGCCGCAGGCCGTGGACTGGCGCCGGCTCCTGCGGGCCAACCTCGTGGCGCGGCAGAAGCCCTGGGCCGGCGCGGGGGCTCTGCTCGGTGGCGGCGGCGGCGGCCTCCAGCGGCCATCGGCGGCTTTTGGTAGTGGCAACGGCGAGGACGAGAAAGATGATGACGAGGACAAGGACGGAGGCGAGCGACTCCGACGAGGACGAGGGCGGCGGCAGCGACCACGGGCGGCCTTTGGCGGCCATCTCGGAGGAGGGAAAGGTCCCGATACCGCTGCCCTTCCGTCGGTTTTGCCTTGCTGGGTTTCTCTGGGGCCCTCGTTGCCACGGCTGGATTCTCCTCGAAATTCTGGTCGGAACGCACCCAGGGAGATGTCTGGGGAGTCGCGGTATCGGTACCTTTTTGCACCCCCACCGTCGGTCGGCGGCCGTCGGCGGCCGTCGGCGGCGACGACGAGAATGAGGATGAAGACGAGCGACGACGACGAGGACGAGAGCGGCCGTGCCGGCGAAGAGTTGGGCTTGGCAGACGTGCCCGTGGCCCGAGGTGACCCCAGCGTGAAGTCATCAGGGCGGGCTTTTTGGCCCCGTCTCGTGGCCCGGGCCCTCGTGCCGTGCGGATCGTGATGATGAAGAGGATGATGATGATGGTGATGGTGATGATGGTGATGTTGATGATGATGTTGATGATGCTCCTCATGATAGTGATGATGATGATCATCGTGTTGATGATGATGATGATGATGATGATGATGATGATGATGATGGTGGTGATGATGGTGGTGATGATGGTGATGGTGATGGTGATGGTGATGGTGATGGTGATGGTGATGGTGATGATGGTGATGCTGAGGCTGATGATGATGGTGATGATGATGCTGGTGATGCTGAGGATGGTGATGATGATGATGGTGATGGTGGTGTTGGTGGCGATGGTGATGATGGTGGTCATGCTGCTGGTCATGATGATCATGTTGGTGGTAGTGTGGTGGTGGTGATGGTGGTCACGATGATGGTGATGATACTGTTGATGATGCTGATGAGGTTGCTGATCAGGATGATGCTAATGCTGCTGATGATGATGATGCTGCTGCAGATGAGGACCGTGAGACAATTACTGTGATGACGAAGATGATGAGTATGATACAAATGATAACGTATGATATTGATGACGTGGATGAGCATGCGTCCTGTGATGCTGCTGAGGAGGATGAGGAGGCGGATGTTGGTTTTGGTGTCCTGGCTGTCGATGATGTTGATGGTGGTGGTGGTGATGGTGATGATGATGATGGTGCTGCTGCTGATGCTGTTGCTGATGATGATTGTGATGGTGTTGGCTGTGAATGATGATGATGGTAATGCTGCTTCTGATGATGATGATGGTGGTGGTGGTGGTGGTGATGCTGATGATGATGATTATGATGCTGGTAATGGTGATGATATTATACAGGTGTTGATGATGTTGCTGGTGATGATGCTGCTGATGATGATGATGGTGATGCTGATGATGACGATGCTGGTGATGATGATGATGATGATGACGATGATGATAATTTCGTTAATGATGATATTGATGATGATGCTGCTGCTGATGATGATGTCGACGACGATGATGATGATGATATTGATGATGGTGATGCTGATGCTGCTGATGATGATGATGATGATGATGATGCTGATGATGCTGATGATGATGATGATGTTGCTGCTGCTGCAGATGAGAACGATGAGGACAATTCATCAACCGGCAACAGGATTGACCGCAGCCGCTCCCCGGCACCGAGCGTTGGATCGAGCGAGTTTGACGACCGACCTGTCGACACCTTCGGCTGGCAGTAGGTCTTCGACCAACACGATTGCGACCGGACCGGAATCAGTCTGAGTTTCCTTGGGATTCGGCGCATCGCCCACCAGCACCTTAGAAAGGGCACATTCAAGCTTGCTACGATCGACTCAAGCCAGGGTGGCGAGGCTGACATAGTGATCTTCCTCACCACCAGGTCCAACGGGAGCCACAGCTGGGGCTTCATCGACGATGGCAACAGAGTCAACGTTGCGATCACTAGGGCCACCCGGTTCGTCATAGTGATCGGGGACGGGCGACTGTTCGCAAGCGCCACCTCGTCAAGGCTTCGGGTGCTTTCGGAATGCGGGAGGCTCACCAACCTCTGGGTCAGGTTCAAAAAGAACTGCACCCCAGGTAATCGCCTCCTCCTGGAACCGGACACCGACTTCGACCCGATCCACGACCTCGCGACCTGGGTCACCACCCCTGTCTCCTGGTCCAGCAACGCCGACGGAGACGACGCGACGAAGGAGATGGACTCGGCCATAATGCGCGCCCGCGAGTCCCTGGCCAACAGCTTCGCGGACAGGGTCGAGGCGCCGCTCGAGCCAGATTTCAACTGGGAAACCCTGTTGCGTTCCATTCTGGACGCCATGAACAACCTCCTCTCGGCGCCTGCGTTCGCCGTGGTCCTGTACCTGGTCTCCGGGCTCCACCCCCACGAGTTCTCCCTGGCGGACACCCCCAGGGATCCAGGCAGACATGACCGGAAAGCCTGGTCCCACCTCGGCTTCCTTTCTACGATGTGGCCATCGGTTTGGACGCCGGCAGCCTGGTCTACAACATGTTTTGGGCATGCCTGGTGTGGGTATTGGGCTTGGGCGCCCCCTGGGAGGACAACGCACGCGCTGTCTCAACCGACTCCCTTCCGCCGCGCCTGGCGTCGAAGGGGCACCGCGGGTCGGGCGCCAATGCGCACTGAAGGGGTTTCTCAGGCAAGTCCCCCAGGCATGGGGCGCGTCCACCAACAAGCGTTTTCTCCACAGGTCACGCCCCGGCATGGACACCCTGGCACTTCTTCTATGCGCCGGACACAAAGACCCCAAGTTGCGCGACCGACTGAAGTACGCAGACGACCGTCCCCTGGACACGCGGAAGGCGCGCGCCCCTCTGGCCCTTCGCAAACGCCGAGGGCGCGGGAGACGTCATCGAGGCCGTGCTTGGCCTATGTGCACCCTGGCAAGACGTCCGCCTAGAGTTCCGACAGAAGTTCGCAGCATCATGGAGTCTCAAGCTGGACGACTTTACCGACCTGCATGGGGGGATCGAGGACGCTCTCTCACAAGTCTCCAAGCTGGTGACGAACGCCCACCACCATGACGCAGCCAGAAAGGCGGGGTGTCCCCAGACCTGGAGGGACATGGAGATGGCCGACTTACAGCGCAAGGCCCCGATGCTCGTCTTGGAGACAATCGCCCCCCCTGCGCACCTCGACCCTCTCGCAGACTACACGCGGCCCTGGCCGGGTCCGACTCGGGCCTGGGAGAAAACAGAGCTGGCGTTGCCTTCGGGTACGTTGGGGGGGCACAGCCCTCTCCAAAACCGACCTGTCGCCCCCCGCGCCTCCCGCCCCCGCGCCAGGCGCGAAGTCAAACCCGCCCTCCATCGCCGATGACAGGCTACATTGCGACTAGAAGAACGCTTCCCTCACCTGCGACCGCTGCTTGACTTACAGGCGGAAGCTCACCGACGGAACCTGGGGGCCTTCTGGCCAGCAACAGGCCGCAAGCCCACCTGGGCGGAAAGAACCCCAGGTTGTTATGCGAGAACTGCTTGGCGGCTCACCTTGCCATCCAGTGCGCCCCAAGCCCTACAGGCGCGACTGTCGCAACCAAAGTCTCCGACTCCACAGCGTGGCGGAACGGGCGCGACAAGGGCCCAGTCGCCCGCGCCCTCCCGCCGCCCCCCTGCCCTGGGCCCCTGGGATACTGGCGCGACCCCACGACCGGGCGTCTGGGCGACCCCTTCGTGACCCCATCCGGACCTCGCGCCCCCCGGTCCGCGAACGCCGCGACCCCGACCATGAGGATCTCGGACGGAAGGTTCGGCGACGACGCTTCCCAAACAGGCCCCTTCTCCGCCAGGCGCGACGCGCCCACCCTTCGGGCCCCCTGCTGGTCTGGAAGGTGGGCGCGCCAGCGCTCGGCTGTTTCCTCTGGAAGGCTGAGCCTGAGGCCTCGGGCCCCAGGAAAACAGGCCTCTCCAGCTAGGGCCAGCGGCCGCTCTCGTGAGTCCAGCGCGTGTGGGACGCCGCGTGGTGCTGCCGGAGGTGCCTAGTGCACATCTTGAACGTCGCCCCCGCAACCTTGGACCACATCATGGGCCGCGACTCCGGTGACATCTTCCCGCGGCGGCCGACGGCCCGCCCACGTTAGGCGTCGCAGGCGGACTCCAGCGAAACTGCCCCAGATCTGGCAGCCCTCCTCACGCTGGCGTTCGCGGGCGCGAACGCCTGCGACCCCTGCGCCCGCAGCCCCCCCCCAGAGGGCCCGCGGCATGGTGGGGGAGGGGGCAGTGATGGCGGACCGCGTCGCAGCTCGAAGCGGCGCACGGTTGCCGAGATCCTGGCCCTTCTCCCAGACTTACTTCCCCCGGAGGTCTCCAAAGTAGGTCGCAGGAGCGTTGCAGTTCTATCCCTCGAAGAGGGAAGCGCGCCCAAGCATGGGCGGCGCAACAACCAGAAGGACGTCCACCAACTTGCTTGGGCGACCCATCGCCAGGGCGTAGCTCCCACCAGGGGGCCGAACCCTTTCCGCCATGACCTCGCCGTCCTCGCCAGTTTCCTCGCCAGCCTGGACTCCGGCGCGCTCGCAGCCACTCCCACCGCCACCTTGGCGGGGCAGGGCCCCTTCGGCCCCTTGCGTTGACGAGGCGAACGCCCCGCCTCTGGGGGGATCCACGATGGCCCGGCTGCTGCCGGAGCCCGGGCGCATAGCTGGATCGGCGTGCGACGCCCCCCCAGCTACCGTTGCCCCCGCGCGCGGCGCAGCCGGCAGTGACGTCGGGCTCTCCGCGCCCCGGACAGACCCCAGCCCCCTGGTGACAGGCCCCGACGCACCAGGTCCCTCTCCCCACGGAGAGGAAGCTTGCTCCCCGACGAGCCCAGCATCCACCGTCAAGGCGGGGGTCGACGGGATAGACTACGTCCAAGAAAAGGGCGGCGCCGCCCCCCCGACTCCCGCGCCTCCCCGGGGCGGCGCGCCAGACGGCGCGGTCGGCCTTGAGGGCTCACCGCAACCTCCTTCGGATCAGACGCCCGACGCCTCAGCGAGGGCCCGCCTGGGCGACGCCAGCCGAAGGGTTACGTTAGCGCCAGCCCGCCGCTCGAGGCGACGCGCGACCTCCCGCAGAGGCAACCCTCACCTGCGCGCGAGCCGGAGAACAGCAGCTCCCCAGCAGCAGCGTCAGACAGTCGCCCCCCCCCCCCCCCCCCGGGGTGGCGCGATCGTCGCTTCCAGCCAGGCAGCTCCAGTCAGCCCGCCCCGGGCCAACCTCGTCGACGCCGCCAGAGGGGGTCCCATGGCCCATGTGCGAGGAACGGTTGGGCAATGTCGATCTCGACGAGTTTGCGGAAACACCCTCAGCCAAGATCTCCCGTCTCCAAAAGACCTTCGGGGGAGTGTTCAGCAGCGCCTGGCATGCCTGCGCCCGCGTGCACCCAGCAGGGGCCAACGGCCCAAAGAGCGACCCCGCGCTGAACCCCGAGGGCACGCGCCGTGCTTTCCTTGACGCCTGGGGGCGCTGTGGGTATGATTCCTACGAGATGGGCCGCATGCACGGGCCCCAGGTCACATGGGCACGGGGGCGCGACAAGTGGTCAGGGTACCAGGGCACCAGCGCCCCACAGTATAAGGGATGCGCCGCAAGCTCCCGCCAACCCTGGGCCTGGGACTCATGGCCGCAGGCCCTGGGCGGCGACGACTGGCAGGCCGCAGGCAAGCGTGGCGGCGACGATAGCAGTAACGGGAGAGGGGGCAAGCGCCCCCGCGCGTGGCTATGATGCCCCACCCCCTGCGCACCGTTGGGCCCCGCCGCGCCTCATCGTGATCGCGGGCGCTTCGATGGCACTGCGTTGGCTCCGCCGCCGGCTACCCAGCCGAACCTGGCCCGGCGTGCCTGGCCAGGCGCCTTCTTGGAGCCCCAGGGCAGCCGACTGCAGCTATCCTCTCCAGATGTGCAGACCTCAGGCCTGCTCGGCTCGCCGCGGCTGTGCCATTGATTCTTCAGTTAAAAAGAGGCCCTTGCAAGGGCCAGGAAGGAACGCGTTTCGTTGCTACCGCTATCACCTAAAATGGGGCCCGTTCGTCTAAAGGCTTCGGTGCCTCGTTCATGCAGCGCGCAGTGGTCGCTTGCCACCCCTGGTTTGGACCTCCGACCTGTGTGTGCGTTCAGGGGCTTGGGCGGGGACCTCCGACGGCGGCCCCCGCATGCGTCGCCTTAGACGCGACTCCCACGGCGCCCTGTGGCCGACGTCCGACTTGCAGGCAGTGCTCCTTCCCTGGCGCCACTCCCTGCCCAGCCCCCGTTGCTCCCGGCCCTCGGGGCAGGGGCAGCGGACTGCTGACAATGCTGACTCGTGGGTCTCCGCTGGGGCCGTGGTCCGCCTGCCCCCCCCCGTTGTCCCACCCTGGGCGCGTCTGCTGCAGTCCCTGCTGTGCCCGCCGCTTGACTTGCAGGCAGTGCTCCTTCCCTGGTGTCTCCCAGCCCAGCCCCCGCTGCTCCCCGCCCTTGGGAACTTGGGCAGTGGCCTGCTGACAATACTGACTCGTGGGCTACCGCTGGGGCCGTGGCCCACCTGTCCCCTATCGGCCTCTGGCCTGCTGTAGTTGTTTTCGCTCCTGGCGCGTCCCTTCCCCGCGCTACCAGGCGGCCCGCAGGTCGGGGTGCCCCCCCCCTCGGCTTGGCCCCCGCTCTCCCCGTCGGTCGGTGGCATCGTCCCCCGCCGTGCTGGCTCCCCGCTTTTCCGCCCGAGTTGCGGTTTCTCTTCCCCTCCGCGGGGCCGACGGCCGTCGGTGACACAGCTCAGACTTCTGTGCTCCTGCCATGCTGAGGTCGCGACCCTGGTTCCAGTTCGGGGTCTTCCCCGTGGTGCCGTTGCTTGCCTGTCGCCGCTCTCGGTGTGCTGACTCCGGGCTCGTGACCCTATTCAGAGCTCGTGGTGTGCGCTTATCCTGGCGCCACTTCATGCGCCTGTCCGTGGTGGCCCGCGCCATTGTGGCCGCGCGGCAGCTTGACTGCTTCTCGTGCCCGTGCGTTCTGCTGCCGTGGGGCTTTGCGGCTTCGGCCACCCTGGGTTCTCGCAGCCTGCCAGCGCTCGCGCCCTCCCCGGCATCAATTCGACCTTCGACTGTCGGTCCTTCCGGCTGCGGCCACCCTGGCGCCCTCGCCGTTGTCCGGGGCTCGCGCCCTTGCATTCATCATCCGGCTTCTGTCCCTGGTCGTCGTTCTCCCGACTACCCGGTACTTCCGACGCCATGCATGCCTGCACGCTGGCAGTACGACTCAGTTTCAGCTTCCCCTCCACTCGCCGGTCCGCTGCTGAGGTGCTGCGCGAGGCCCCGCTGAGCCGCTTTAGGTGAGGCCGCCCTCCGTTGCTTTAGGTGAATTTGTCGTTGCGTGCCCCGCTTTGAGTGGACTCACCGCTGGCGCGTTCGCCCGCGGCCGCTGACTGAAAAGTATCCCTACCAACCCGACTAGTGTTCGGACGGCTTTCGACCCGCCTCGCGAGCCTGTTGACCAAAGTATCCCCACCAACCCAGCCCCAGCTTGCATGCTTGCGTGTTCCTGGCCTCTGGTCGTCAGACATTGCCACAGCCTGGCCGTGTTTGCAGCTTGCGCCCCTACGTGGATTGCTCAGGAGTGGTTTAGTCTTCTCGCTCAGCCATCTGAGGCTGCCACTGTTGGCGTGCGACACAGGTGCGTTGGACTGCTTGCGCAGCCCCGCGCTTTGCCACGCTCGGTGGCACGGTCACCTCTGGCGCCTGGCGCGACAGGGTACACTTCGTTCGCCTTCCTGGTGGTCTCGCCTCTTTCGGCAGCCTGGCACACCTGGCAGCTCCTGCAGCCCGCCTTCAGCCCCTGGCGCCGCCCAGAGTCCCGCGCCTCAGCTCTGGCAGCCGTGAGTGCGCCCGCTGGATAATTAGGTCTCGCCCGCAGTCCGGGACGACTTCTGATGCCGCTTGCGCCTTCGCTTGCGGCCGCGACCCAAAAGTATCCCCACCAGCCCAGTCAGAAGCCCTGCCCACGAGATCTGACCCGAAAATGGACGAACGGACACATCTACGGAAACAGTGCGAGCAACCAGGATGAACCGACACATGTCTTGGAGCGAGGGGGTGGCCTTGAAAGGCCTTTTCGGCCCATCCCTGGGGGGCGCGTGGGGGCGAGGGGAAGAGGAGGAGGAACAAGAGGAAAAGGAGGGCCCAAAGAGTGTGACCCCTTGTGTTCCTCGATTTCGCCCCCCTCTCAGAGCCCTCAAAATCGCCTCTTGGAGCTTTCCTGGGGCTCTTTGGGGTGGTATCGGAGCTCTCTTGTGGCTGTTTTAGGGGTCTTGGGGCCCTCGTGTTGGACGTGTTGAGGCTCTCTTGGGGCCCTCTTGGGCGCCCTGGAAGGCCTCTCGGGGCCACCTTGAAGGCCATCCATCGACCAAAGGATGAGAGGTATAACGTTCAGCCCCCCCAGATGCCAAGATGGGGCCAAAACCTTAGTACAACAAATGGTTTTGGCGCCCAGAGGACTGGGATAACGTTCAGCCCCCCCCCCAAGATGCCCAAATGGGGCTAACACCTCTGAGTAAACCCAATGATTTTGGCGCCCAGAGGGCTGGTGGGATAAAGTTCAGTCTCCCCCCTCAAGGAGGCCAACATGGGGCCAAAACCTTAGTGAAATCAATGATTTTGGCTTTCTCGCCGAGGCCGTTTTGGACGCCCTGACACCTCGCGAAGCCTTCCAAAAAAGTCCAGGGGAGGGGTAAGTGGAGGGGTAAACCCCTCCCCGTAAGGGAAGAGTTTTTTTTGGAAGAGGGAAGAGGAATCTCGTTAAACCACCTGCGCCCAGAGGACTGGTGGGATTACTGTGATGGCGCTGGCGATGATGATGAGTATGATGTGCATGAGCCTAAATTCTGTGATGATGGTGAGGATGAGGATAGTGCTGATGTTGATGTCTGTGTTCGGTTGTCGATGATGTTGTTCTTGTTGGTGGTGGTGGTGACGATGATGATGACGATGATACCGATGATGACGATGATGATGACGACGATGATACTGATGATGATGATGATGATGATGACGATGATGATAATGATGTTTATGCTGCTGCGTCTGATGATGTTGCTGACGCTGACTCTGCTGCTGACGATGATGATGGTGGTGTTGGTGATGTTTATTGTGATGGTGATGATGTTGAAGATACAGGTCATGATGCTGATGATGATGGTGATGCTGATGATGATGATGACGGCACTGATGCTGATGCTGATGATGATGCCGCTGATGACGATGCTGATGCTGCTGATGATGCTGATGATGATGATGGTGGTGGTGGTTGTGGTGATGGCGATGGTGATGATGATGCTGATGCTGCTGCTTCCGATGATGGTGCTGATATGCTGCTGATGATGATGGTGCTGCTGATGATGATGATGCTGATTTTGATGATGTTCATGATGATGCTGATGATGCTGCTGCTGATGATGATGATGATGACGATGCTGCTGCTGTTGCTGATGATGCTGCTGCTGCTGATGATGATGAGGAGGATGCGGATGAGGATGAGGATGAGGATGAGGATGAGGATGAGGATGAGGGATGATGATGAGGATGAGGGATGATGATGATGATGATGATGATGATGATGATGATGATGATGATGATGATGATGATGATGATGATGATGATGCTGATGATGATGATGATGATGATGATGATGATGATGATGATGATGATGATGATGATGATGATGATGATGATGATGATGATGATGATGATGATGATGATGATGATGATGAGATGATGATGATGATGATGATGATGATGATGATGATGATGATGATGATGATGATGATGATGATGATGATGATGATGATGATGATGATGATGATGATGATGATGATGATGATGATGATGATGATGATGATGATGATGATGATGATGATGATGCTGCTGCTGCTGCTGCTGCTGCTGACGTGCCTCGTGCCCTCAAGCGGGAGGTGTGGGTGCACCTGGACGGCTCGTTCGTGCGGGTGCCGCTGCCCCTCGCTAGGCCGCTGAGCCTAAAGGCACCAAGCCCCCCCCCTCGCCGCTCGGGCTTTGTGTTATGGGAAGGTGGAGAAGGGTGCACCTTTTGTTCATCTTGTGAGCCCCAAAGGGGCACTCTGCGGCCCACAAGGGGCGCAAAGGGTACACGTTTCTTCGCCATCCCCATGTATCGCTCTCCCATTAAGCAACGCCCAAGCCGCGGCGTCGCGGCCATCCACAGTGCCATTGCCCTGCGTGCGGCCAGGACGAACCGGTTTGTGCGCCACAGGAGGCAGATGTACCGACAGATACCGCTACCCTGTCTCCGTTTTCGCCTTCTTGGGGCCTCCGTTTGGTCTCCCCGTGTGGTGTCCCCGTATGACCTCCTTGTAAGGCGTTTGGCCCGTATCGTTTCCCAGTATGGTCTCCCTGTGGGGTCTCCCGTCTGGTCTCCCCGTTTGGCCTCTTTGTATGGTCTCCCGTATGGCCTACCCGTTTGATCTCCCGTGTAGTCTCCCTTAACTACCCGTATGGCCTCCCCGTTTGTTTCCCGTACGGTCTTTCCAATATGTGCAGTGCAGTGTCATGTTCTCTTGACTTTTTCATTCTGCATTCTCCTGTCTTCTGCCGCCAGGGTGTATTGTGCGTGTGCACGGTTGATCCATGGTTGGGTCCCTGCCCCTTCTTCAGAGGGGCCGGCCGCGCGCGTTCTCTAGCTTTGCTTTCTCTCGGCTTGACCTTCTACGCCTCATCACTGCGCGAGAGGACGCGGCGCCAACAAGTGTGTGCGTGTGTACGTGTGTGGATCGCTCACCCTCTGGATCTCCGCCTCCGGTCCCTGTCCGCGGCGTACCTTTCCCTGTGCAAGCTTTCCGGCACCGCCTGCACCCCGGGCCACGCCCACTCCGGCCGCCTGAGACCCCGCCTGCCTGCCCTGTCTCCCGAATCAAAGCTGTGCGTAGCCCGCCTAGCTTTTAGCGGAAGAGGTTCGTTCTCGCCCCGCCGACCAAACAAAGTGTGTACGTGTGTGTGTGTAGGTGTGTTTGTATGTGTGCGGGTGTGTGCAGTCTACGAGGTGCAGGATTTGTGGTGCAACCTATGCGGTGCAACCGGCGTGGTGCATTATATGTGTTTCAATCATTACCCCAGTGCGACCCTACCTAGAAGTTAGAGCCCCTAGGAAAGCAGCATTAGTTGCTATGCTATGCTATGCTATGCCATGATATGCAGCGCTATGCTATCATCTGCTATGCTATGCAGTGCTGCGCTCTGCTATGCTCTGCTCTGCTATGCTATGCTAAGTTATGATATGTCATGCTGCGCTGTGCTACGCTAAGCAAAGCTAGGCTATGCTATGCTACGCTATGCTAAGCTGCGCTACGCTATGCTATGCTATCCCAGGCTATGGTATGCTATGATATGCTGTGCTATGCTAGTCGAAAACAAGCTGGTAAGCTTAGGTATGTGTTACGCTTTAAGCGTTGCCATATCCCAGGCTTTGGCTCATATCGCATGAGCAAGAGAGCAAGACGAAACATGGGATCTGGAGTAAAGGATAGAAGAGGCATCTTCAATGGAAAAGGTATTTTCCGATCTCAGATACCAGTCGTGCGCCTCGGTGAGGCACAGTCATATATTTGGCCGGGCCCGGCTTGAGCCAGGCACGGCAGCGGTACATGCTCGATTGATACCTCGCCTTTAACCTTCTCCGTTTAAAGTCGGAGGGGGAGGAGACGAGCAGGCACCGCACTTCTACATTACGCGGAAAAAACAGTGCTAAGCAGCAGCGGCTGCCTACAAGGCAAGGGCGCGCGAGTAGCCTCGCTACCGGCGAGTTTCCTCGCTACTAGAGCGCACCTGCACGCGGGTTTCCCCGCTAGCTCGGGAGGCAGGGCCGTCCTGAGACGACCTGCCCGCCCTATACGGTGTATGTTTCTTCAGCTCGTGCTTGAAGGATTGCTGGCCGGCCATTACTTGTAGGAGCAACGCGCGGTCAATGCTACCTTTGGTATGACCATCGGCAGTCATATCCCGCGTGTCACACCATTGAACGCTTTCAACGATTCCGCGCTCCATCATCTGGCGGATCCAGCTAATGTGCCCAAGCAGAGTACATTCTGTGGGCTTCTTCAGATCTTTGCTAGACAAAGACTTGAAGACAGACTCGGCATCAATAGTCAGAGTGACTTTGATACATAGACCACCCATTTCCAATATGTTCTTTAACTGTGTGGGGGTCAATGGTCCCGAGTGTAGCTCGTGGAGCGTTACAATGGTCGGGTAGCAGTCTTCCAAGTTGTGGGCTGCTGCCAGTGTTTCCGCAGAGTAGCTCGAACGCACCTGCAGTCGATGAGACTTGCAGTATGCGTCCACCAGGTGCACGACGGGTTTCCCCGCTTGCGTGTGGCCACGCCTCAGCAGGTTAGCCCCGCGGATACCATAGCCTTTGACTTCGTCGTCTTCATCTCCATTGAGACGGCGATAGCCAGAATCGCTATGCAGGTCAACTTCTCCTGTTGGAGTCATAGCTTGATACACGATCTTCTTCGGACCTGCCTGTAGTTTCCTGGTAACCGCGTTTAGTCGTCGTACCTGGATGTTTGTCGGTTCCTGGATACGTTGTAGTGAGACAACATAGACCATCAACCATACCTGCGTGATCAACGCATAGGCTAGAGCGCCACGAAGACTGACGAACATGTCAGAAATCGTCTTTGTCGCTTTGCTCTCAGGATCAGCTCCTGTGAGTTCTGGATGTGTGATAGGACGGAGCTGTTTGATGTATTCGTCCTGATCAAGAGTGACGCTCCCATCATCGGTCTTGTTGTACCGAACGGCACAGTTTGTGTATGTATGCTTGTTCAGTTTGCACTTTCCAAACGTATCTTCAACACACTTGACATACTTGTCAATAGCATCTTCCTTCCCGGTCATATTGATGTCATCAACGTGTTTGGCTGTCAAGAGGTTTGGGCTCATCTCGAACTCTTCGTCGTATGAAGTAGGCTGTAGCCCAAAGCTCCTAGTGATGGACCTGAGCTTCAACGAGAATGCCCTGGGAGCATCCTTCGTGCCCGTCCCCGGCTTCAGACACCGAAGACAATGCTTTGATTCGTCATATGACTCAAAGCCTGGCAGTGTGCGAAGGACAGCTGCTGACCCAGGAGGTAGTGTGAAGCACACCACACGCTCTTTCTCGCCCGTTGCCGCGGCAAGCTCGCTATAGGTCAGTCCCTTCAAGAAAGCCATGTTGATGTCCAGGGAAGCGATGATCCAAGCTTTGTTGCATGCAGCAGAACTTGCGAGCAGTCTCTGGCTTGACCTCCTTGCCGTGCCAGAGAAGGTTTCGACATCAAAGGCTTCAAGGTCCATGAAGCCACGGAGTACCAAGCGTAACCTGATCGTCCTTTCCATTTCGCCCTTTTCGTTCTTGACAAACTTCCATTTGTATACGTAGCGTGAAGTCATGATGTTAGACGCTTTGCTCAAGTCAGTCATCTGGAAGCATTTGTTGTCAAGCCAAGTCTTCAATTCTGTGTAAAGGGCTTTGGAAACTTTGACCGGATTTGCTTGGATGTCGGCCTTCGTGAGTAGATCGTCTTCCTTGACGACCACGGCACGTTTGGAAGCAGCACTAACGTATACTCGCATAGTTGTGACGCTGCTGTCATCCAACAATCGGTGTTGCTGCTCGGACAGGACGACTTTGGACATGTCTGCTGTGAAGCAGAGCTCGATGTACTTCCCGTGCTCATCGGAGTCCAGATCATATTTACTGTCCGGATCCGTGGAGCATAAAGGAACGTAGTAAGAAGTGTCCATGTCGTATCCTGGCGGGTGACCCCGCTCCGGCAAGTGGCCTTGCACATCTTCACAGGTCGTAGAGACTAACACACACTGTGTGTCTGTCATGTATGTGGGAACTGCATGCATGACTTCTTCTGTGTCAGCTTCAAGGAGTGTTCTGTCATCCATCAGTTCAGCATACCACGACTTCAAGACAAAGGCATCCAGATCTTCTTCTGTTTCCTCTATGATGGTCGGGAGCCGACCATCGTTCTCCGTAGGAGGCTCCTCAGGAGCAGCTGCTGGAGGTGACTCGCTTGGTGGTGGACCATCAGCGAGTTCCTCAAACTTAGTGAGGTCTCGGTCAAATCCAGCAGACGGCTTCCTGGATTTAAGACACTGGATGATGCGTGAGTGTGTAGATCCTGTGATGTCGTAGATGTTCAAGGCAGTGCCATCAGCTTCATAGTAATGAAAACCAGGGGTCACATCATTATCATAGTGCACTAGTGTACAGCTGTCTGCATAGGGTGCAGCAGGCAACTTCGTCAGGCTCTTGGCAAGTCGTACAGCAACAACGTTTTCAATACGAAAGTAGTTGCGTATGAGGTACTGAAGAGCCAAGTGCACCTTAGGCGAAAGTCGGCTCGCAGCAGTCATCTGCAGCCGACCCTGTTTCGCTGGTAGATATCCGAAAGTCATGGCGGGTTTCCCCGCTGGCAGACCGGCAATAAAGGCCAATACTGTCCGAAGGGCCGTATTGTCCGATCCTATCTCGCGGACCATAAGTGCTTCGATGTACAGCGTGTGTCGTGTGTCAGGATACTGTACTCGCACCTCGCGACTGCCGACCTTCACGATGACCTGGCCTCGGTCAGGTTCGTTGCGGATGACCGGGTATGGACCACTCCATCCACCCCAGTCGTCTTTCGTGGTGGTCGGGCGATGATAGTCCACGAGATCTCCCTCTTTGTAGTGAAATTCACCCGTAGCAGTAGTCTTCGTACGGAGAGCCCTGTTCGTCTTGGCAACCGCAGTGGCCTGCGTGATTGCCTCCAGACTAACCCTCCTGATTGTTTCCTCCCTTGAGTGATCTGATGATTCAGCGGACTGATCATGATCCAAGACAGGGAAATCGGGAAGCATAGCTGGTTGTCTGCCATACAGCGCATTGTACGGAGACACTTCATTGTAGAAGGTAAATGCGTTGCTGGCAAACAAGGCTTCATGTAAAAGACGAGTGAAATTCAGAGGA